CCGCTAAGGCATGCAAAACATAAGAGTACGCCCCCCCCCCCTTCCGGCCGGCCGGCCAAGGTCGCTGCTTGCCAAGGAAACCGGGCTCCATGTCCGTATGTTGCGGTGAGCCTTTTGGGTGTCGCGCATTTTCTCGACCAACTGTAGACCCTGGCCATCTACCGCACCCATCTGTATTTCGCGGTAAGCTCGGCAGTAGTCTCGTGTACGCCGGGCAAGCGTCGCACCCGACCGATCATCAAATGCTTTTCCCTGCACATCGATTTCTCGATGTTCTTCTCGTCAGCGATCCCCACTGACGCATTCATCCCCTCTTTCCACCATCCCCGTTCCCACAGACACTGCTTCGAGCCCTTTGCCTTCCCTTCGTACTCTTCCTAAATCTCATCCCTAGGCTTTGTTCCAGCCCCGTCAGCCGCCCCTTCATTGCCTGCGCCAACCTCCGCTCCCGCTTTGCTCTTGCGCTTAGCCTTGCGCGCGACCTTCACATCTTTGCGCGGCGCATCCCACTCGTAAAAGGGAGGTGGAGAACCTGCCGCAAACGTGCTGGTCTGTGTGTCGCCAACCTTGAGCTTCATGTCGTAGACCTCTGCCCCCTCGATGAACTCCGTGCTCAACTTGCCGTTGGAGAGGTACATCTTCGCCTCTTCCGGTCCCAAACACCCCTCTGTCATGACTTATCCCGCAACACCTTTTGCTTCCCCCCGTACTTGACGTTCATGTTCCCCACATGCAATCCATCTTGTGTGCCCCGAAGAGTGGTCGATCTCAACCACCACTTGCATGTCGGGTTCGAAGACGTCCAAGACGTCCAAGACGTCCTCGATCTGTTCCTTGAGCTCGTTGTATCCCCAGTATCCATCCTTGTTCTTCCCGTACTGGAGAAACCGCAGGCCAGGGCTTGGTGTCAGGTCTTCCTTGCCCTTCTCCTTGCGACGCGCGTTCACCGCCTGGAGCACGTCGTCCGTCAACGGCAAGCCAAAGCCGTGCCTCTCATCTTGAAAGGCAGACACCATCTCTCCCGGGTCCTCGATTTTTTCGGTAATCCGCGTACCCCTTGGACAACCCACTCTTTGCCCTCGCGCGCATACGCTTATAGACACTCTCGTCCTGTCCGATGTGGCGCACCTTCCTGTTGCATTTGCACTTGGCCGGGGTGTGAAAATGCTCGCATGGAAGAGCAGCAGCTTCTTCGAAGCGGACGCTGAAGTGCCCCCCTTCCGGTCCAAGTTCAGCACGGAGATCGTCGAATCGATCGACGGAGCCGTTGTCCCGCAGGAGATCGACGTGGAACTCGATGCACTCGCGCCCCTCTACCACGCAATCGTAAACCTCTGCGCAGAAATCCTCCGCCGGACCTTTGATGCCGTCAAGCCGCTGAAGCTCCTCCGGCGTCAGAGTGTCTCGTTGAACTCGCACCCACAACGGTTGCCGAAGGGCGAGCTTCCGCTTCACGTCGATGTACTTGCCGCGGTACACCACCACGTCCTTCTTCTCGTGGCCGTCCGTGTAGAAAGACTTCGTAGCCCGCTCGTACTTGCACCCCAGCGCGATGATCCAGGAGTGGGTTGTGACCATGGACACGGGAAGGTTCACCTGGTGCGAAAGGAGTCTGGATAAATCCCCGATCTCGTTCGCGAAGAGCCACTGGTTGATGTAGTTCTGGACGTCCTTGACCGTAAGGCGCTTCTGTGTCCTCATCCACTTGATAAGCTCATCCTTGAGGTCCTCTTTCGACATGATCCAGTCCCTCTCGTGCACCCTCCTTGAATCTCGCTTGAAACCACCGTGCCCCCGAAAGTCCCTGAGCCACCCCAGGACTGTCGATGCCGCGTAAACCCGCGAGCCAGCGGAGTTTACTCTCGCCGCGATCCGCAAGAGCGACGACTCGTGTCGACGACGCGAGGCCTCGTTCAACAGCTCAAACCGTTTGGCCTCTGCTGCCTTCACTGCTGGGATCGTCGTGTACGACTCATCGGACAAGCTCTTCGCCTGCTGCGTGAGTTCCAGTTGCCGCAGGTCGCGCTTCCGCTCCTCCTTCAACACCGTCAACGCCGAGTGCCCTTGATACCACAAGCGGTTTGCTTGGGTGGCGGACACTTCCTCCTTGTACTGGTTGTCCTCGCCCTCGGTACACGCCCGTGCGTCCACGTCTGCATTTCCTTCGATGGGCGAGGGGGGGAGAGGGGCGAGAAGACTCGCGAGGTCTTGCTCCGCCATAGCTTCCTCAATACGCCGAATGTGCTGCTCGTTGCTCTCGATTTGCGATGTCAGCTCGTAGATCCGGTTGCCGAGATAGGAGCCCCGCTTGTCGAAGTCCCGTCGAAACTTTCCTTGCCTCTTGCTCCAGCCCCGGGCCACCGAACGCCTCTCGCGCCTGGAAAGCGTCGACTCTTGCGTGAAGCCTGCGCGGGTCGCGTCCGAACCGGCCAGCCGCTGTCGCTTGAACTTCCTTTCCTCCACGGCGTTTAGTTTGCCGAGGCTGTTGCGCGATTTTCCTGTGTGAAATTGGGATTTCGGGTGGAGGCG